TTTTAAAATATCCTTTTTCTTGATAAAGATTTAATACTTATTACTATAATCTAGACAAGTTAATCCTGAAACATACAAGTATATTTAAGGATTGGGCCACAAGTATATATAATATACTTGTGGCCCAAAACTCCATGACATCTTGCAATGTGGCCCATACAAACAAAAAGATTGGACACCCTGATCTAGAGGATGGCAATAATTTTTCAGATATTGTTTAGATATTGTTTCAGATTATTTTTCAGATATCTAGCCTAGTTTCATTCGGCATTTCAGACTACTGTCTGTCTTCAGTAGAAGGCTTACAAAAACTCTTTCTAAAATTAATTTAAAATTATTTTACAACAAAATTTAAAAAAGGTTATCTTATTCAACCTTTATAATTTTGTTGTAAAATAATTTTAAATTTTTATTTTATATTTACATTTATTTACATTTAAAATTTAATGTGATATCACATTAAGATAGCAATAGGACATTGATCTTATTCCTGTCTCAGTGTTAATGTAATTTAACAATGAAAACAAATAAATTTAAAACAAAAAAATTCAAGTAAATCTAATTTGAATGAATGGCTTCATTTGTCATCATTTTTATTTTTTATTACTTTTAAACATAATAGTTATGTTGTTGGGTCAATAGGTCCTCTGAATCACCAGGATGTACAGTACAGCAAAACAGTATTATTTCAATATTGAACAATTCAAAGTATTGCATAATTTGAAGTAAAGTCTAGTCTTGGCCAGGAGAATAGGATTTTGCATATATTTCAGTTTGAATAATTCCAAAATATGTGTACAATTAGATACCCACAATTGCCGTAAATAATCAGGCTATAATTTTGAAATAATGAATTACAAATGAAATTTAGCACTAGAGGGAAGCATTAAGTTCATTGCCAGTAATGCATCTGCACGGTAAGTGGGAGTTGCAGGTTCAAGTCCTGCTTCGGGCCGATTCTTTTCTTCCAGTTTAATCTAAATTATTTAATTAAATATTATAATTATTAATTTTAACACCTCTCTCTAGTGCCAAATTTCATTTGTAATTCATAATTATTATTTCCAAATTATAGCACGATTATTTACGTCAATTGTGGGTGTCTATTTGCTATGCATCGGGCTTTGGTTGGTGTTTATATTTGTATGTGTAAATATGACAATGATGTGACAATGAAAGTCGATGTCATTATCTGGTCAGTGACCCACAAAAATATCATTTAATTCAAAGACTTTCATCATATTGTGTGTTTTAAGAAAAATTTCCACACCCAAATAGCAGTTTTGTTTTTACCAATTACACATTATTTATTTATTTATTGGATTTCTATTCAAAGTCATTCAGGCATTGCACATGTTGCCAATGAAGAAAGAATTTTTTTTTATTTTTATGGAATACATCTGACATTTAATTATTTTTGACATTTTTTGCAAAAATCTATTGTTTCAATACTTCTACAATCCATTAAATATATGTGCATATTTAGGATAGAATGTGTACATAGCTTTCATCGTTAATACACCTTGTATTCATCAGATCACATAATTTTCATAATCTTGAACTAAAGACTGAATTCTTCATAGAACTGGCCATTGGTTCTCTAGATCAGTGGTTCCCAATTAGTTTTTCCTGCGTATCACTTTAAGAAAGAGCTCAAACTAGTGTATCCCTTATAGCAGAAATTCATATTAATCCTTACTAATATTATAAATTCTAAGGTAATTCTGTTGTCTGTCTGTTGCCTTTTCATGTCTAAAGAACTGAACAGGTTTTAATAAAATTTAGCACAGAGATAGCTTTTGTGTTGGAGATGGACATGGGCTACATTTTACTGCGAGAAAATATCTTACTCCCACAAGAAAATTCAATATAATACAGGCGAAGCTGTGGTAGATGGCTAGTGATAAATAGAATAAGTTTTTTTTTTTTACATTTATTACCTTTAAAATACAATTCTAATAGTCTAATAATGAAAATAACATAAGGTTATTTAATTTTAATGTGACAAATGTGCACGATTTTCTTTGAACAACTTTGTAAAATCTGATTGCTTTTTGGTCATCTTCAGTCTCAAGTCATCTTCTAATTGAAGTCGGTGACGATGTTTAGTTTTCATGTTTGTCATGGCCGAAAATCTGCTCTCGCAGAGGTATGTTGTGCAAAATGGTGGTAAATATTTTATTGCCGCTTCGCTGACATGATAATAATGATAATTGTACAATTAACACAATTTGTGTTAATTGTACAATTTTTGTTTCTTACGTAAGAATTTCACTTAGGTATTGTCACAAATGCATTTTTTTATGAAATTTTGAGATTATTTTTAGTTATAAATAAACAAATTTGTGCATTCGACATCATGTTGTAAACTGCCGAATTTTTGATGGTCCACCCATTATTTTTTTGATTGCTTCATCTCATGCATTTAAATTTTAAATCGACAGATTTTAGATTGCCATGTGTACCCCTTCACGCAATTTCGCATACCCCCAGGGTGGGAACCATTGCTCTAGATGAAATGCACAGTTAATTCTTATTGAAGCTCTTATGCTTCTTTCATACATTACTTTCAAGTCTTGCTTGGAATGTAATTTCATTGTTTTTGTTGTTTTCATTAAGTATGCACCAACTTTGTGAAATAGCTTAAATTACTAAATAAGAACTCATAATATTAACATGTTTGTAACCAAACCAGTAAAATTATATAAGATAAAGCCATAATTTTATATGAGAATTATAAAAAATAAAATTTGATTCAAAAAAGTTTAGATAATTCGAAGTCATATTTTTTAGTTCCTTGAGTTTCTAAATAACAAGTTTTGCTGCATATAGGTAATGTTGACAACATGTTTAAGTAGTTAAAATGAAGAAATTGTTACACAATGGACATTGGACATGCATGCACAGATATAGTAATACAGTGGATGATCAATTAACAAACAAATCGGATAACAAACACTTTTGCGAAAGATTTTTATGATCAAACAACGAACATATGTTCGGATAATGAACATGTTATGTTTGTTCAGATACATGTTATCAGAACATGTGTTTGTTCAGAACAGTGAACACATGTTTGGATAACAAACATGTGTTCACTGAACAAACATAAAAAGAAGCAACAAAAATAGCAAATACTGACTGATTTTCCCTTGTCTTCAGGCAACAATTTGAAGCTTTTCGGAGCACTGAAGACGTCGACATTGAAGCTCAACCCGGAATATACTCATCAGATAGTATTCCTCCGAACTTTGAAACTCTCCCTTGTAATTCCAGCCTTTTATTTTTCTGACAGAAACAATTCTTTTATAGTATTCACAAGACTGTCGGGAAAGCACTCGTTAAGTTTTGCATCAAGTTTTGTTTTCAAAAGATAAAATAGCAAAGGTAAAGAATGGGTAGAAGATGTCTGATGTTGCTGGGCAGTATGGCTTGAACAAAACTACAGTAGGGCACAGTTCAATCTTATCTAAGAAAGATACAGTATAATCAAGAAAACTCAAGTAGCTAACACAGTAACAAAAATCACTTCTAAGAAATAAAAAACATTGAAGAGCTTATAATGAAACCTGAAAAACTTATCTGATGACAGAAGAACACCAAGAAACTCAGCGAGATAGGTTTCATTATGAAAAAGAGGATATCTGCTATTAATTGAAGATCTTTTGAAGAAGTGGGGGATGTCAGATCAACAATCTTAGAATGGCATACAAATCAGGTTGAGGTTAATAGGATTGGGGATCTCTACAATTACAATGCTATTAATTACTTCTGAAAATCCTGAAGAAGAGAGAAAAGCAATCGCCCTTAGACAAATTCTTTAACCCACACAAACAAAAAAACATAACTAATAAAAATGCAAAACTGCATATATATGTATTTTTATTATTAGATATAAATGAACGTAGTAAGAAAGTATATATTTTTTATTTTTTGGGGTCTCCAGAAAGAATTAATCAAATTCCCATACAAATGTATGGTAAATTGATAATCGGTTAACGAATAATTTGGATAGTGAACAAAATCTTGGAATGAATTATGTTCATTAACCAATCACCCACTGTACTATTTTAAAACTTGTCTCAGTTGAAAAAATGGAGATGCAGATAGAATATCAAATTGTCCAAACCAATCATGTTTTAAAAGCAACAATTAAACAATGACGATTTCAAGAGCTCCCACAACCTCCAAACAGGCCTAATCTCACCTAGCAACTCTGCTGTTTTTTGAGAGCTGGAAAGAAAAAAAAATCTGACAACACTTCTCATTGGTTGGTGAGCTTGAGGAGAAAGTATCCAAATTTCTGAGCACCCTTTCTCCAACCTTCTTCAGATAGGCATGTGAAAAGCTTGTCTGCCACTGGAAAAAGTGTGTTGAACAAATTGGCTTGTACACTAAAATATAAATGTACTATACATAATGTGTTTTTGTCAGTAAAAATTTTAGTTTTTTGTTTCTCCATCCATGTGAGTCCAACGACTTATTAATCCAACTACATAGATCTAACTTCTAAATTAGGTAACAAAATTATCTTTAGCAAATACTTAACTGTATTCATTACTATAAAATAAATATTCACTCATTTAAGTATCATACTAAATTAAAAACAATGGCAGAGCTTCACTAATATTCTTTTAAAACTATGGCTAATTTTATAACACCTCAGACGATATTTATTAATAAACAAAAGTTGCAATTCATTCAAATGATATGCAAAATTCAGAACAACAGTCAAAGCATTAAAAACTCTTCCTGCAAGAATTCAAAATGTATTTGATGTGTAGATGTTACTCAAAATTATCTATAGTTTACTATAGTCTCTCTCTTAATGGATTAATCTACCACTGCTATGCAATTTTATATAAAAATAAGCTACTAAAAATGTTTTAAGTAATTTCTAGTTCCAAAATTAAATAAATTTAATATTCATGTTGGTATTGAAAGTAATTTTAATATCATATTACATTTTCCTTATATACTATATCACTAAATTTTCTTACCTTGTAATATCATATACCATCAAAGCTCCAGCAGCCCCCCTATAATAGCTCCGAGTTACAGCCCGAAAACGTTCCTGTCCTGCTGTATCCCATATCTGTAATTTTATTTTTTGACCACTAACTTCAATAATTCGTGTTCCAAATTCTACTCCAATAGTATGAGGACAATCAGCCATAACTAGATTATCAAATATATCAATTATTATATTTTTCCAAAATTTTACTTTACATAAAATTAAATTTTGAATTTGTTATTTAAAAATATTTATTACAAGTTTTAAATTCAATCCTCATTTTATAAAAATATATTATTTAGTAGACCAAATTTTTTACATTAAGTAAAAATAATTAAAAATAGACAGGTAGCAATTAATTGTCAAGTGGATGGTGACAGTCCCAAGAAGCATCCCAAGGGTCAAACTTTGACATCTCTTAGAATCTAAAATATTCAGTTGATGCTGAAGTTCAAAATTTTCAAGACCTCTATAGAATATTCGAAATTGTTCTCTAGCAGACGGCATCTAAAAGTTTCTTGTAAGGTACATAAATGAAGACTGTTAAGATGCACAATCATAAATGAAAAAATATTTTGTGTCAATATCAACTTTTTAAATATATCAGATTTGCCAATGCTTTCTTATAATCAAATTTGTGTGTATTGATACAAGTAAAATTGAATCTTTGAAATTCTAGCAAGAAGTTTATTATAATAAAAATGTTTTTGATCAAACTGACTGGTCTTTTTCATTTACATAACACACTAAAATAGTGGTAACATTACAGAACAGAAGATATAAATTTAAATAAAATGTAAAAACATGAGATACAAAGTTTAAAAAATAGAATACATGTTTAAATATACAGGAACATGAGAATAAAAAATTTGATATATAAAAGTAACAAGAATATAAACATGATATATGTATAAAAATAACAAATGATAAATATGAAATAATTATATAATAAGCCAGAACTATTTAAGTTCATAAGGTGACTCATGCATTGGAAAACATGTCAGCATCTCAATGATACATGCAGACTTCTTATTGGCCTTACAAATCTCCAATTTTTCCAGATAGCTAAGAATGTTGATGTTAGAGTCAGGCTTAATAAGTTTGCTTGTTCCCAGTTCACTTGCATATCATGGTGGTGAGCATAAGCTGCTAATGTTTAAATTAATTAGATAAATTCCTGTCAATTGTGTATTTGTGATCTTTGATTCAAATAATGTTCAGTGGTACCTATGTAGACAAGTTTCAATGTGAATTGTTGGTTATTTATTGGGACGGAGTAAATCCCAGAAGCTGTGGTGAAATTATATGGTATCTTACCATTTTGTAAAATTTTGAAGACATGAATTGCTTCTATATACCAATGTAAGATTGTTAGAATGGGCTGCCTCTTTTGTAGCTTTCTTAAAGTCAGAAAATCGTTCAGGACAACTCTATTTTTATGGTTCATTGGTTTCAAGTTCATTTGAGGTTTGAAAGATTACAATTAATCAGCAACTTATCAGGATATCCATGTTGTGTAGCAATCCTTGAAATGTAATTGAATTCCTCTATTGTGCCTAAGATGCCAGTGCAGTGGGTAAAACTCTTCTTATCAGAATCTGAAATAGAGAGCTTAATATGTTCAGGAGGATCCATAGAGTTGTATGGAATCAAAACAGGTTCAGAAGTATTGAATAGGTTTCCTGTATACCTTGGTAATATTTTGCCAAACCTGTATGAGATGGAAGAGTCTAAGAAATATATAAGTTAAATATCTGTATTCAAGTGAATTGGGAACAAGCATAACTCATTAGGCCTGTCTAACATCAACTCTTATCTACATAGAAAAAACTAGACATTTTTAAGGCCAATAAGATGTCCAAATGCATCAATCATTGAGATGCTAACATGCTTACCAATGCATAGTGGTCACTTAATTAATGAACTTAATTATATAATAAAACAGAACTAGTTATTTCATATTTATTTATCATTTGTTACTTTTATACATACATCATGTTTACATGCTTTGTTACTTTTATATTTTTTATTCTCATGTTCTTTTATATTTAAACCTTATGTATTCTATTTTTTAACTTTATCTCATGTTCTTTAATATTACAACTTTATATTCAAGCCAGATGAACATAAATATACCAGAAACATCCAGCACAAATTATACTTACTAAAAATAATTAAAAAAACATAAGATATGTAAATTTCTTACATAGGAAATGGAAGTCTTAGTAGGAACTGGACTTATCTAAAACATCTAGAGATTCTCAAAATATACAATGCTAATTATTGGGACACGGCCATAAATTACAGGGAGGTAGGTACATTCTCCAGAACATGGAGATCTATTTTTGAAGTAAGACTATAAATTAAATCTTATTACTTAAAAATAATCATCATTTTTGATGTCAGCATTTTCCAACTAATGAAATGATTTATCCATGAATTTTAAAGTAATATTGAAATTTTCACATTGATGTTCGATTGGTTATAACTTGAAATAGGTTTTGATGAGCCACTTTGGGTGAGGATTGCAGTCTTGCAGACTGAGCTCTCAGCAATCCAGGAGTACTCTGGACTGGCATAACCAGCATTTCACCCATAAACAAGGTCAATATCTATACAAGCTCCTTCATGTCTGCCAACATCCTCAATGATCTTGGCAGTACTCACCCTATTGCAAATTGAATTAATTTGGCTGTCATTAATGGAAAGAACCAATATGCTCTGGAATGGATCAGGAGACACTATGCAATAAGTGGTAATGAAAGGGTTGACTCCCTCTTGCCAGGGAGGCCACTGATAATAGACTGAGCAAGTATACATACAAGGCAATTTCCATCATTACAGTCAAGACTAAAATAAATGACTATAATCAACAGTTGTGACAAATTATGTGGGAGGAGGGAAACATTAGTGAAATCACTCATTGTTTCTTCCCAGACAACAGGGATATCAAACATGTTTCCAAAAGCTTTTGGATAATTTTTTAATGGCACATGGTTGTTTTGCAAGCTACTTCTCCTGCTTCAACATTAGGGAGGGCGATATCTTCCAGTAGTGTAACATTATTATAGGTCAAATCGTTACATAGATGAGTGTCCCATTTTGTAAAAATGCCACTTTGAACATTGGATGACAGCAAGCCTCCAGAAAACAGCAAGTCTACAAAGAGAAGGATTATATTGTTATGATAAGATCAGAAAATAGCATATTCAGTGGGAGTGCCAGAAAATTAAAGTGGCCCTAGATGTTCAGACATTTAATTTCAAAGGATGTAATGTTATTTAGCAAGACCAGAGAGCTACCGTGTTTCCCCAAAAATAAGACAGTGTCTTATATTAATTTTTGCTCTGAAAGATGCGCTAGGTCTTATTTTCAGGGAATGTCTTATTTTTTCCACAAAGAATTCACATTTATTATTGAACAAAAAAATTCCCAAGTCGAACTTAGACGAGAGTGACGTATATCCGGTCGTGTCAAACTGTCGCTTTTTTATAGCGTCGACATCAGGCTCGATGACCAATTAGCGCTTACTAAACAGTAGCACTACGCAAATATCATGTCGCGTGATTCCCGGCTGACCAATTGGCCATCACCCAGCCGTAACGTTATGCAAATCTGTGATTCCCAAGCCATAGTTTTATGCAAATCATGCCGTGTGGCGTGATTGTCTGCTGACCAATCAGTGGCTGTACTTTCAAAAAGCCAACAGCCACTTTCAACCATCTGTCGATGACTGTTACGAGTAAAAAAAACTTTGCTAGGTCTTATTTTTGGGGGGAGGCCTTATATTAAGCAATTCAGCAAAACCTATGGTAGGTCTTATTTTCAGAGGATGTCTTATTTTCGGGGAAACATAGTAGATAAATTCTGCAATTATGAAACAGTCAATTTCAGACTATTGATTTTAATAAATCAAATGAAGTCCTGTAACCAAATGGCCAAAGTACAAAATTACCACTACTGTAAGGTCTCGTTTTATGCGGTGGATACGTTCTACAGAAAAGCGCATATAAAAAATTCGCATAAAAAAATACTTTACTTACCTTGAAAAAGTAGGGATACGTTCCGTAATTTTCTAAAATCGCATAAAACCAAAACAATGAGTTAAAATTAACTTAAAACCGCATAAAAAAAGTTTGCAGAAATTAAAAGAAATAGGCTGCTTAATAAATTACTTCGAATGTCTGAAAGAAATTCATATAAAATTTAATTTCAAAACAATTACAGTTTATACCTTTCAATGCGAAACTCAGAATGATGTAATAGCGACTTGTCGATGGTATCATGTACAAGGGGAATCCCCGAATTGCAAAAGCTCACTCTAAAAACAAATCACTGACATCTGGATGTGAAGAGTTAATTAAATTTTAACCCTTTAGTTCCTCTCCCGAGTTAACTCGAGCAGGTTACATAAAACACGGTCCTTAAGATTTTTGAATTTTTTTTTTGAATTTTTGGAATGTTTTTAAGTCTCCAAATTTTTAAAAAATATTTAAAAATATACGGCCAGTTAGTGTTCACCCTACTTTAAACCCTTGTCCTCCCGCAACGTCTATGAGAATGCCCCGGGAAATCCAACTCCAGCTGTGTTCAAGGTCATCCAGATGTGTAAACAATGACTCATCAGTGTTAAATTTCACAGAAGGGCGAGACAAAGGAAGTTAAACTTTGAAGCTTTTTCTTCAAAATTAACGCATTTCTTTCGTTTTTTTCAGTTTTAAGTATTTTTTATGTTTAATTACATTTATATCAAAAATTGCTAGGAACTAAAGCGATTAAGGTAGATCTAGCTGTCCTTTACATCCATAAACGTTATATGTCAGCGGAACAAATGGAGTGAGCTTTAAGCATTCCACGATTTTTGGAGACTGTCCGTACGCGGGCTTCCTAAACAAGCCTATATGTATGTTTGTCCAAAAAATTTTTGGACGAAATACAAACCGCACAACTTCAAAATCGCATAAAAATAATCCGCATAAAAAGAGACCTTACGGTATTTAAGAATAGTAGGGTAGTAGTTTCCAACTTAATTGACCAATCACCACAAACCTGCAAAACATTTAATTTGTAAACGGTACACCAATATGGAAATCAAAGAAAAACTCCAGTAACAAGTTTCATAGTGTGAGAATTCGAGCTCTAGCGTGAATTTTAGAGCTTTGATAAATTTTTCTCATCATTATTTTTTCAATTTTCCGTCACTTCAAGGAGTGACCATTTAACCCTTTCTGAGATGAGAGAAAAAACACAACCCACACATTTCCTACTTTGTCCGATTTTAACAAAGATAAAACTGATCGAATGACCCACCAAGTGAACAATTATTACTAAGGTTGCACTACATATCCTAATCTTAGTCACCTCCAGCAATTAATTCCATTAGTTTGACGGTGTTATCAAATTTATGAGTTAGAAAGAGTAACAATACCAGATAGAAGTAATAAATCTATAGAAATGTATATACTAATTGTCAGAAATCGAAACCTTTCCTAACCAGGCAAACTTACATGGAATTCCATCAGAATGTTCCCCGAACTTTTCCCCCTCAGGACGGGAATAAAGAGAGGTCGCACTTGCACCTCCGGGTGGACACAGCCAGGGGACAGCCGAAGCAGACATAGCAAAGGCAGACACATCAGGCGGATGTGCACAGCTGATAGCATTAGGTGGACATCAAGGGACACCAGACCCATACCGCCATACCGTCCGTCGCAACCCCTGCCTTCTTGCCAAGATCCTGAACCGAGGATAAGAGACACTACAAGTAGATTCAGCTGATATGGGGACAGTTCTTACCAATGCCCATTAGACTATATCAGGACCACAAGAGGAAATCGCATGCTCTAAATTTGATCCTTTCTTTTTCATTCCTTGTCTCTCTCTCTTGGTTATAGATTATTTTAGGCTAGTTGAATTTAAAATAATAATATGTTTTATAGAGCTAGAACTTAGATGGCTAATCAACGAACATATATTCCTTGTTGCGATATAGAATATTTTGGAATATTACCTTTTTGTTGCATTTCGATTTATAAGTGTTTGTATAGTTTAGATCAGTGATTCTCAAACTTTTTCGATCCACCGCCCCCTTTGTTCCATAAAGTTATACCCAACGCCCCCTAACCCATTTTCTCTTGTGTGAGAAAAGGATTGGAAATATTCTTAGGAAAACTTTTCTATGAATCTCACACTTTGTGCCCTTACTGTACATTGTTCTCATCATCTGGAAACCATTAAACGCAATGTTTCCTCTTATCAGCCCCAATTTTGCCTTTGGTCACCGTTCAATACCCTGCCTCTATCATAGATCTATTCATCGCGCCAGAAGGGGGCGTTATTGCTTACTTTGAGAAACGCTGAGCTAAAATAAAAGTCAATGTGTTAGAAATATTCAAGTTGTGACCTTCAATAAAAAATAAAAAATATATAAAATGTCAACATTTTATATATATTCCGTCGAATTTTTATATATAGAATTTGTCTGCCGTCACCCCTCTATATTTCCTTAACGCCCCCAATTCTCTTTGAGCCTTCTACTGCCCCCCTGAAAGCCTCCAGCGCCCACAAGGGGGCGTTATCGCCCACTTTGAGAAACACTGGTTTAGATACTTAGATAATTAATTATGTTTATTTTATATTTAATGCTGTGTCATCCTTGAGTACAATCAGTAACCTGTCGACTTACCCATTGCCTTCCCCACTCACATTTTTGCCGTCCTATATAGCCATTCTCTGACAGAGCCGCCATTAAGTGGGAAGAAGCTCAAAGCTATACCCCTCAGTTCTCACAATAACTTTCCCAGTAAAAAACACTAAGACATACTAGCACAAAGTTGAAATTGTTTCTGGAGCAATCTGTTATCAGATTTTGTTAAAATAACTATTATTATAAAATGACAAAAAGCTTAATTTTGAGGGTAGAAATGAGTTTTACAAAAAATTGTAAATACTAATAAGCAAAAATCTTCATTAAGTCTGACCCCACTTGAGATGTGAAAAGTGACTCCTATCTATCTCCCCGCTCCCTCAATCTTTAAACACCAAAATTTAATAGCATTAATGCCCCTTATACACAAGCTACCACACCAAATTTCATTTCTTAATCATTACCCCATCCTGAGATATTAAATGAAATAGATGCCAACAGAATTTTTTGCACAGAATACATGCACAGAATTTTTTCCCTTTTTTTCTCCACTTTATTGGATTCAGACCTCTTGAACCAAAATAACTGAAGATTTGCAAAAACCCATGAGGGTTTTTTGTAAATCTCATTAATTTAATATGGCTGACAAAATGATTTTAACATTCTCTTAAATTAATTTTGTCAGTCGTATTGTTTTCAACTCCATTAATCATCTTCATTAAAACTCATGATAGTGAAATCTAAGGTTTTTGAATATGACTTGATCCATTGGCTAAAGTTTAGATGCTAAATTTGGTAGAAAAAAAATTCCATATCTTTAAGACTTTATTAACACGGAAGGATTTACTGGACGATTATCTACAACTAATGTAATTTTCCTAATTTTCTGTTGTGATTTGTTTGAGTTTCAATAATGAATCTTCAAAAATTTGGCCAGTCATCCACACTTTCTTATTAAAATGATAAGCCACTTCAACAAACTTCATCCCTTTGAAACTTCATGTATTTTTGTATTTTTGCTTTTTCCCATTATTAACAGTTTCAATTTTTAACTTCCTGTCATATTTGCTCCAATTAATACACTGATACTTTCTTCACTCTGCTTTCCATCAAAACATCGATCATTTGTAAAAGTGATCATTGTATTGGGTGTACACTTAAAGAATAAACCAGTTTCATCTGCATTGAAAGCATGGTTCTAGCATGTTTTGCTGTATGTGTTGCATCATCAGCTAACTTCAAAATTGATTCAAGTTTTATCAACCGTAATAAAGAATTTATTATGATTGATAAACTACTCCCAGGAATTCCAAACTTTGCTGCAGTGTCTTTCTTTTTTGAGCCTTTATCAATTTCCCACAACACATTAATTTTTCAGTAATGCTTAAAGACTTTCTCTATGACATTTTTGTACTACAGTATAGAACTGTCCACTTTCAAACCTGAAGTTAAAATAGTGTTAAAATGCAAACTTTTAAATTTTAAATACTAATTCAATTTTAATGTTTCTGAGAACTCTAATACACAAATTAGGAAAGTTCCTCTGAACTTTACATAGAATTCAATACTATAAGAACAATTTAGGTATGACTCATTTCAGCCACCCGCATCAGAAAGACCACTTTCTTGGCTAAATACTTATACTCTACAAAATGAAAAACATCATTGATATCCATATTTATTGTGCAGGCTGCCAATTTTATGACAGGGATGTATTCCAAAAAGAGGCAGTATAAATAATTAAATAATCAGCACAAAATTAGTCCATTATACTGTACAGTATTATGAAGTAAATAGGGATGCATTCTAATGTGCAACAATCTTTAGGAAAATTTTGTACATAAAATTTATATTCTGGGGAAATTTCGGATTCTGAAAATATTCTGCATCCTTGGATATTGGTGCATTTATACTAATTTCTTTGATGAAATATATATTTTAGTTTATAGAATTAAAAATAAAATATACACAAAATCATTTTCTTCATTGTTTTATTATGTTATTTTAAAAATAAAAAACTTTTCACAAATGATTCATCAAGAATATAAAAATCATGTATACTTACATTTTTTTTCCGTAAATTGATGAAGAAGACATGATTTTCCAACACCCATATCTCCAATTATAATATATTTGAAAATGTATGAATAATTATAAGGACCTGCTGCCATCTGAAATAAAAAGTATAATGTAAATAAATTTTGTTATAATTTACATCATAAGCACCAGACTAAAAATCAGTTTTAAATATCGTAATCATTTGATAATTTTTATTCAAAATTTCAAATGGTGAAACTTTAAAAAAATTATTAATTATCAAAAACTAACAGAAAAAATGTAAATTATTATTTTTACAGTATTAATACAAATTTATTAATACAATACACACATTTTAATAATTTGTATTAATATTTTTAATATCATTAATAATTTTAGTTTTATTTTTTCCCTCTTTAATCAATAAACAAACAAATTATGTTTTTAATTGTAGAATCATAATTTTTCTTGTTTTGAATATAGAATTAATCAAGGAAGATTAAAGAAATTCATTCTTTATAAATAATTGTGGAAATACATAACCATTTTCAACTTTTAAAAACAATCATATAACATGCATTTCAGTTAGTATGCTAAAATTTTTCATGAGTTACAAATCATTTTTTTAAATAAGTTTTAATTATTGATTTAAAATTTAATTTTTGATTATATTTCTCCACCATCTACGTTTGTCAAAAACATTTACAATTGTGACAAAAAAATTGTTAAAGCCCTTTGTATTTTTTTTTTTTTGGATAATAAAATTAATTAATAATACAGTGTTTTTAATAGCCTGTTATGATCTTACTGCAAAAAAGCCATCTTATCAAAAAGTGTGTGTAATAAAGCTACAAACTTGAAACACTTATTTTTATTAGATATCAAAAATGTTTAATTAAATGATAAACTATTTTCTGTTACTGGTTTACTACTTTATTTCTCTTGTTATTGACAAGACTATGTCTTGTTTATAAAATTGTATTGCCACTCATTCTTACCAGCATAGAGGTATGAAGGAGTACATGTCGAGAGTTGATATTTGGCACAGAGTATTAGGTGCCCAAATCATTTGTGCATAAAAAATCCAGACTCGTAAGTAGTCAGGGGACCGAGAATTGAGTCAAAATAAAATACAAAATGGGGACCCTCTTCTACAAACAGGCAAAACAGCCACCTCACCCCACCGAAGTCAGGTAGGGGAGAGTACCACCAGGGGTGCACAACCTGCAGCCCGCGGGCCACATACGGCCCCCTATTAATGTTTATGCGGCCCGCAGACGGTACAGGCCAAATCTCTTCTTTCAAAGTTTCTAAGTGTAGAACTTTTTCCCTTTCACCAAGTCATTAGCACCCAACTGTTTTATGACTTTCCCTGAGGTGAGAAATAGGGGATTGTTCTNTAAACAAGTGCAAAACACGGAACAGGTTAACCAACGAGAATTTGGAAAATCTGCTGGTTGTTTCAACATCTGCCATTACGCTAGACATCAAGAAGATTGCCGCCAGCATCCAATCTCAGCCATCGCATTAATCACTTGGAGGTCCGGCCCCCAGTCAGTAAACTTAATCCTAATTTGGCCCTTCTTCAGAAAAGGTTGTGCATCCCTGGTACCACCCACAATCATTCTAAGAAGTGAACTCTGACCTTAGGACTGAACATAGTTTCTTCTAGGTTAAATAAAATTTGTAATCTAATTTTGTAAATTTGGGAGTGTTTCAAACCTTAATATCTGGGAGTGCAACTCAGATATTAGGGTTGTCATTACATTTGATAACATTATAATCGGGTTAAACTGTATATTGTTTGTGCAAAATATAAAAAAAAATTCAGACAATACAATAGCCATGATTATTTTTTTCAAAAACAGAAACTTTTCATTACGCATCAACAAAAATTCAACCTGGGCTGACACGCAACAGAGAGAAATTTTGAAATTAGATAAGTTAATTTCATCAAAGGTACATCATGGACGATCTTGTGGTCATGGCCGGCAAAATTTGAACGATTGCACCCAAAAGCAGTGATATCAAAGAAGATAGGAGAATGAGAACGAGACCTGCCTTGAGCATCAAAGAGATTCTGTCTCTGAGACATAGTTTTGTCCCAAATATGGTTTTGCCATTTTACTTGTTATAAATATATTATTAACCATTACTATTATAATCTGTCCCGAAAGTTCCAGAAATAACTCAATGGAAAAAATATCTTACAGGTAGCAATTTTGCTAATTTAATTTTCAACATAATAGCTTGGATTGTCAAAGGTTCTCAAATGCCCTGGAAGTAACTTTCTGGGTTGTTGTTCAGGTATGTTTCAATGTCCTTTAAATGTCTGGAAAGTTTCCATACTGTATTCCCTTGTGTTATAGGAACAGAAAAACTCTGCCAGGACTAAATCCAATGAGTACAAGAGACATGCATGAGCATTGTCACAAAAGCTACAGAATTAGTGTCTGAAGCAAATTCATTGTTAGAGGAGTCAGAGTTGGTAAAAATGGACTGACTCAGACTCCTGTTTTTTATATACTTTATATCAGTTGTTCTCAATGTTTCTCATGTCAGACCTAAAACTCTCCCACAAAAATTCTCACAGATCCCCACTCTTAATTCAATTACTCACATGGATTAATTGTAATATCATCCCATATTTTGGACCTATATCCTTGCACATCACCAGAAAGTTTCAAAAATTAGGATTTAACCTTCCAGTAATACCATTGTTGCCCTTATGCAGAATACTGTGATGATAGAGGCAGTTAATCTGCTTTAGAAAAGTCAGGCATTTACTTAATTCCCTTACAACACCACACCAGTGATGCGAAGGTAATTTAAATCAGGGTCACAAAAAAATTACAAGCTGCGTAATAGAACACCAAGATGACATTGGTAATAATATACTTTCCATGGAACTATCTAGGAGGGTACTTGATCAATGTTCTAAAATTTAATTGGAACAAGTTAACATTAAATTTAAGATTTTATATCAATGTTCTAAAATTTGGTTTTTTTTTTTTTGCTTGAAGATGACAAATTCAAAATTAAAAACCAAAAGCAGTTACAATGCATTACACAGTAATGCCCTTGTTATAATGTGCCCTTATAACTGGTTTTGGTTTTTAATTTTGATTTTCAAACTGCCATCATAGAATGAATCCTGGTTGTTCCATAATTTAAAATTCTGAAAGTGTTGTAAAATGATGATATCCATTTTAAAACAAAAAACATTCTACAGTGACCCGAGGAAGACTTTTAAATTAAGTCAAAAACATTCATCAGATAACCAATCCTTTGCTGAAAAGTGCACTGGTTGTTCCAGTTAAGTATTGAAATACGTTCCAGTTTTCCAAAGTCGCATTTTGTATAACTGTAATTTAAACAGGATCAGTTTTCCTTTTAATAATTTTGATTGTGTAAAAAAATAAATATTCATTCCTGATTATGAAATACTAACAAATTGATAGAAAATTTAAAGTTTCAGAAAGTTATTAAAAAGAATAAATTTAATAAATTTACATTTCTGTAACAGATTACAGAATTTTATTAGTGAATATTAGATAACTGTTTTTCTTCCCCTTCTTTTCAAAATCAAGTAGTTTTACAGGTGTGGATTAATTACAGAATAAATTGTTTTTATATAATAAAATGTCTTTTTTTAAATTTTAATGATTCACTACCTCAAAAAAAAATTATCTTCGTAACCAACAATTTTAACAACAATAGAGTTCCACTACTCCAAACACTGCTAATCTGAACATCCACCTAATCCAAACATGTTTTGGTCAGCAGAGAGGAAATTTTCTGTAACAAGAGGTCCACTTAGAGGTGTCCCTTTCCCTTTCTTGAGTGAACCACATCAATAAAGCTTCATCAAGCTTGTCAAACATTGAGGCCTTTCTGTATGTCAATTTTCAACTGATTTTACTGAAGTAGAGGCACAAAACTGCTTGATCTTTGCACGGGTTTTTTCAGTTGGTTATTGTGACCTTGCCCATTACAAACTCTACTGCCAATTTCATTGCACTTTCACCCTTGTCCAGCCTTTTCAAAATGTCCAGCTTATCTTTCAACATGCACATTGTGTGTTTCCATTTTGTGGCATTGTAGCAGCAAAATAAACTAAATTAAAATAATGTAGAGTGAAGAGTACATTCAACATCCACAATTAAGCATGCTAACACACACAGTAGTATCAGTCAACTGATTGGAATCCTGGATTGTGTATTAAAAACATCGTTTTTTACAGTTAAAATAATTTTAAGGTAAACAATAAAGGCAGGTTGCCATTTCAAAATTACAACACTTACTATATATCTCAGCAGATAAGACAACTTTCAGATAAGACGAGGTATAAATTTTCATCAAAGTTTTATAGTTTTAGCATATATCTGTCTATAAGACGACCCCCAAACTATCAATGACCTATGAATTTAGTTTAGATCAGCAATCATCATCTGAATAATAATACTGTATAGCATATACGGAATTATGTCATATTTGTAATTTTTCGAATAAACAAATTTTATTTTTTTAAATCTGGCAGCACTGCCTTGCGATTGTTGTAAACATTTGCACTGATTTGGCATTCAGGTTACCTTTACTATTCACAAATCATCATATGGGCTATTCTATTTTGTGCACATACCCTACTCTCTTCTATGAAATAATTACGATTTGTCTTTCTTTTTATAATGGTTTTAATTTATATAAATTTCAATCTAATGTTTTTTGTATCTGTCCTATAAGACAACCCCAGATTTTTGGGCCTTTTTTTATGATTCAACTATTTTTGTTAACTGTTTGCACCCTGTATTGAGTACAAGTCAGATGAAATAAAGGGTGGGGTGCTGACATCATTGGTGTTGTTGGATCTATATGGAGAGGTTTCATGTTGGCATCATGAATGACGTCATGAGCATCCGCAATTGTCCACCATCATCTTTGTTTATGTTTTGTGCGTGTGTGTTCACGTGAGCTTTAGCTAAAGTTCTTGTGTTGTTTTTTTGTCACGAATATCCCTATGGTGATTTGTTATGTAATTGGGTGTAATGCTAGTTCACTCAAGAACAAAGAAACATCATTTTTTAAAATTCCAGGCATTATTTGTCATCAAGGACCCCAAACTGAGGAACTTTCATGACAAAGACAATCTGCATAGCTCTCAAGAATTAACTGAAAAAATTTCAATACGGATAAAGTGAATATCAATAAAAGAGTTTGTCAAAAACATTTCATTTCAGCTAAGCAATAAATATCAGATTACTACTTATCAATAAATTAGATAAACTTTTGCATGAGTGTCTGCTTGTAACAAATATACAGTAGAGTTAATATTAAAGTGTTAAACAAAGATTATCACTTAGCAGATGAATTAAAAATGAATTTTGAACCAATTGTTTTTCCAGTCTAATTTACATATATAAAAGTATGTATTTTTTTAAGATAAGTCAATAATTTCCATTGTTCATTTACAAATAGCTAAGTTAATGTTGCTCACCAAAATAACCTAACATTTCTTTAAGACAGTGATTCCTAACCTGGGGTACGTGATAGGTTGTTTAGGGGTACAGAAAAAAGTTAGTTATTACGGCAGAAAAAATCATATTATGTATCACAAATTAATAATATTAAAAAATTATTAGATAAAAATTGTTCCTTGCAACAATCACAAACTTTATGATACATTTCAAAATGCAAAAATAGAAATAAAAACTTATGCTGCCGAGTGTACAATGCAACAGATCAAATGTTGTGTAGTCTGTCAATGGTAGTGGAAATACCATTATGTGAGACTATGCTACTGACTTGTGTATTACCGTTATTATTATTATCTCTCAGCAATATCCCTACATGTTGTTTGAAAAAAGTATTCTTTTGTGTATAAAAAGTATTTTTTATTGTTAGCAAGGAAAGGGACATAGCTAGTTTCTCCAGATTTTCTCTACAAGATGTAATTTTTTTCATTATTTATTCAATATTTTTATTAAGTTTTTATTGATAAGAGAGTGTCTTGTTTATAAAATCATACATCCTGCTGTGTTACCAGCTTAGAGGTATGAAGGAGTACATGTCAAAAGTTGCAATTTGGCACAAAGTATTAGGTGCCCAAATCATTCGCACGTAAAAAAAACCAGACTTGTAGGACCGAGAACAAAATCAAAATAAAATTCAAAATGGCAACACTCTCTACAAATAGGCAGTGCAAGATTTGCGCATGCATTGCTTGTTGGGAAGTTGGAAATGCCATGGAGGTACACTAATGAATAATGGTTTGGAATCGCTGCTTTAAGATATTACTTTTTACAGTGATTTTTTACATTAGTAACAAATAATTATTACATAGTAACGCTCAACTTGTTCCTGACAAATTCTTATTTTTTATTCATATATAACATACCATAATGATAAATTCTTTTGATATTTAATATATGTAAAATTATTAACATTAAACACAGTATATTAATAATAATGTTTTAATATTAAATTGTCATTTATTAATATACTGTGAATATATTTAAAAATTTTTTCCACCCCAAAGGAAAACCTTCCTCATTGTATGATGAGTTGTCACCAGACTGGGTGTCAACATTATACATGGGTTATGAGAGTGGCCACAACTTAACTGCAAATCAGGAGCGTTATGAAAGAGCATGTAATTGCAAGATACGAGTTGCCTTAGAAGCTGAAACTTCTAAGGCATCTGAAGCTTGCACCCAATCTTCTACTGTTAAAGATGTAGAGATCTCAACAATTGAAAGCGTGGAAGAAGCAGAGCCTTTAAAATCTAATGCATGGGTACAAACTACATCTGTAGTTGAAACTGTCACATGCCAGACTGAATTTAAAGCTAAAGATATAGAAAGCTTGCAACATGAGTGTGAAAACTTGAAAACTGATGTTTTATTATTAAAAAAACATATGTTCCTAATGAAGTGTTTTTTGAGAGTGATGACAAGGTTCATTTTTTTACTGGACTTAGCAATTTTAAATTGCTTTCATTGGTACTGAATCTTTGTTGCAAACAAATTGATCATCCAAATTCTAGAAAATTAACTTCTTTTCAACAGATGATAGTATGTTTGATGAGACTTCGCTTAAATTTAAGTTTGGAAGATTTGGCTTACAGATTTAATACTTCAAAGGCAACAATATGCCAAATCTTTGACAAGTGGCTGCACATTTATACTTCAGGTTAAGCAGATTGATTGTTTGGCCTGAGAGAGATGTGCTGCAAAAAATTATGCCCAAAAAATTTAAAAACTAATGGCAATAAGATTGCAGTAATAATAAACTGTTTTGAGCTTTTTGTTGAACGGCCTTTGTCATTAAATGCTCACTATTTGACAATATCCCAGTTTAATCACCATAACACAGTAAAGTTTTTAATAAGTGTTATTCCTCAAGGTTCTGTGTTTTTTATATCAGAACCTTGGGGAGGAAGAGTTAGTAAGGGAATTTTCAGGATTGCTTAAATATTTACTGCTTGGGGACAGTGCTAGCAGATAGAGGTTTCAACATTGCAGACAGTGTTGGAATTACTGGTGCATAGCTAGCAGTTCCTGCATTTACCAGAGGTAAACAACAACTTTCTGTATTGGAAGTAGCAGAAAGCAGAAAAATGTCTCATTTGAGAATCCATGTGGAGCAAGTAATCGGTCACATTAAAAATAATTTTAAAATACTAGAGTCGACATTGCCAATTGAGCATGTGACACTAAAGGAACATGACAATGTCACATCAATAGAAAAAATTGTACATTTCAGTTATGCTTTAATAAATTTATGTAATAGTGTTGTGCCATTTGAATAAAACCAAGTTTACACTACGTAATGTTTTAACAAATGTTTACTTACAATTTCGATTTATTGTTTTGAATACTAACATGCTGTCAGTTCTGGTAGTATACAGAATTTGAAAAACTTTCTTGTTTTTTCAATGATACTGTTCCACAATGTAAAGTCTTTATAAATCCTCTCAATGTGCAAACTTTTTTCTGTCCAAACTACAAAGTCACAATATTCAACATAACATACAAATATTTGTGTTTGCATTTGGTAGTAATTAGGGTTTCTGAAACGGGATTCCGGGATCCCGGTTGTTTTTTTAACCCGGGAAATATCCCGGGAAATTTTTCTTATCCCGGGAAATCCCGCAAATTTCTTAAAAATTCACTTTTTTTCTTATTTTGTGTTAAGGTTGAGGAGTTTTGCAAATAGAAAGCATAATTAACTCATTCACTGCCAGAATACATTTGTATTTATTAATTTTAAACCTACCTATTAGTTTTTTTAAATTTTTGCTCGTTATAGCATGTCACAAATGGTCAATAATCAATATATAGCTTATTTGTGGCATGACTATAAAAATTCTTTACTTGTCGGAACCTGTAATATCTGGAATAATTGTGCTTACGCTGTCTTGAGTTTTAACCATGCCCAGTAGCTTCAATAAATGCCTGACGCCAGATTGTGCAAATTGGGCAAGGATACAAACGAGTACAAAGTCTGCAAGTATGAAGTTTTTCTTCATAAACCTGATTATTAAAGCCAAATGAATTGCCGAATTATCGAGCTCTAAGCTTGATGCCGCTATTAAAGCAGCCAAGGTAGACAAATCAAGAATACTAGAGAGCGAAAGAAGTACTACAATCTCGAAAACGAACTCGAAAGCTTCCAGGCTACAGGTGAAAAAACACATAATATCTGTCTTCTCTTAAATGCATTAAACACTATTCCAATCACATCAATTGAATCGGAAAGGGCATTCTCGGTGGCAAGACTTTTCATTACTAAAATAAGAATTAGAGTGAGTTATCGGAGTATTGACCATCTTTGCTTTTTAAAATCTTATAAAAGTTTGCAATATTTTGTATTATATTTTATTTAAAAAACGAAAATTACCTTCTAAATTAGAAGTTCATTTTTTTAATTTTTAACTCAATTCAAAACATTTTTTTTGTTGTTGTTGTATGCAGTTTCCAGCAAACTTTAATTAATTTTTTTCTATTTGTGAAAATTTCTACGTTATTTAAAGGTAATTTTTATTATAGGCCTATAGACCTAACACAGCATTATTAATATGATTTTGGAGGTTACAAAACTTTAAAATTACTTTAAAAAATGGAAAATAATTATATCATTTGATTTCAAGATATTTTGTATACCTTAAAAATAATTAATTCTATCCCGGGATTTCCCGGGATCCCGGGAAACAGTTCACTTTTATCCCGGGATCCCGGGACAAGCAAAATACCGGGAAATGAGAAACCCTAGTAGTAATAATTACTGCTTTTGTTAAATGTGTAATTACCATTCTGTTTAACTAAATTAGACATATTTTCATCAATTTTTTGTCGCTGCTGACACCAAGAATATTTCACTTCAACCACTCCTTGGCCACAACAATTGCAGTCTACAAGACCATCAGGTGAGACACCAATGAATGGATGAGCTAGTAACACACAAAATCCTGTATCTTTAATAGTGAAATTATGATGTAGTTTAGCATGCTTTTCTTCGTATTTCAATTGTGCATGGTTTTCATGATCATATCCCCACCTTATTGAGGGATTTTTGAATCAATGTTCAAATGGGTAACAAATTTTTTTAATCAGTGACTTTGCTGGATTAATTAAATTTGTGTAACATGCTGCTTTCATATTAGATGCAGTTATGCATCTAAAATGATACGATAATAATACCAAAGTTTCTGTTTGTATTGCTTTGTTGTCATGGCACTTATGTTTTTTACCTATCTGGTCTTCTGAAAGTTGTAACTCTTGAAATAGTTTGCAACAGTATTCTTCCAGCTCAGGCCACTCCAGATCAACAAGAGATGGATTGAAAAGATTTCCAAACATTAAAGTAAAAGGTATATCCTCACTTGGAACAAAATCTGAAAACATTGGTGTAACAACCAAAATGCAAGCTTGTGGATTACACTGACATCTGACAAAAATGAATCCAGCTCACTGTCACTCATAGGTGTTACCTTCATGTTTCTCTTTTTGCCTAAACTTTGGTTAACATTTAAACCAGTCATGCAGTTATACTTTGAGACTGATGATGTAAAATCTAGTTCCTTTAACAGACAAGGAGAAAGAATTCTTGAATGTGGAGGCAACCACTCATTTGCTCTGTCAGTTTATGTTTTTGACTCTCGGATTCTAACACCCACACTTCTAAAGCAAACAGTACAGCACCAACATGTGAACATGCTGAAGAGCAACCTGTCATGCAATTGTAGTGAGTTATTATTTGCCAAGAATCCACGCTTTTAAAGGTGGAATTCTTAAGCTTTGAGAATGACTAACCTAAAAAAATAGACATTATGTGAAAAAAACATTCTCAAGAATTTAAGAAAATTGTGTCAAGTTTTACTAATGTGCTAGCATTAGAACATTTACATTAACATTTAATTTTAACAATAATAATATTTACATTAATAAACACTAGATTATATTTATAAACCAGAGTTTACTGATTTGCTTATATTAAATTTAGTTAGGTATAGTGTATTTATAAATGAACAACTAACGTAATTTCAGGCTTTAGCTAGTGCAAAATTTTAGATTTTATCTTTAATGTTAAACACAATCATTAATGTTTTAAGAAAACATTAATGATTGTGTTTTGATAAAAGAATTGTTAAAATCAAATTAAATGAACACATCTACATTTGGTATTTGTATTCTGGTGAATTATATAATTTTACTTACTGATTCTGTTTTCTCACTTTAAATTAATTAGCACTTTAATAATTGTCACAAAAAAAAAAATCACTATTTACAAAAACTTAATATTTCTTCAGATTTCATCTTTCAATAATCTGTATTAAAAATACAAATTAGAAATCAATTCCTTAAATTTATTAAATCTATTTTAAGATATTCACAAAATCAGAACTGATAATATAGTAACAATAAAATAATAAAATCAATAAATAAATTTGGTTCTAAAAGATAAAATGAAAATATAAATCGTAATTTTTGTCCTATTGAGATAAATGTAGATAAGATATTACAAAATTATTTACTTAATGTAATGTCATAACTCAATTCCAAATTATACTAAATATTATTCTAACTCATTTGAAGATAAATTTATAACTTCACTAAATTAAATAATTTTCAATATGAAAATTTGCTTGTTAATAAGTCAGATTTATAACTTGACCATATCACTATTAGGAATTATTAAAATTAACAAAGACTGAGAAATGCTATCAGAATGCAATGGGTCAGATAAAAACAGTGACAATCCACATGACTTACATATTCATTGGATACTTCAAAATCAATTTTACAAAGAATGTCATACTTCATTTTTAAATTACTTTAATAAAATTACTTCTTCCTTTGCTAATGACCCATGCACTTTTTGGGAATTCATTCCTAAATTCTCTAAGAAACTATCCTGTAAAAATCTGCCTTCCCCAACGATTTAATACATGATATTTATAACATGAAATCAAGGTTTTTCCAAATTATCCCTGATGCTCATTTTATCCCTTTCCCTTCATAAATATTTCTACTCTTACAGTATATCTTTCTCCAAAGTAATAGAAGTTATCAGTAAGCTAAATCTTTTATTTAACCTTTAATCGTTTTATTTCTATATCTTTATTGTTTAATGTATGTATTTTTAAAATAATTTTTGGAATCTTTGTTATTAGGGGGCAGAAATCCATTGCTGCTTGATATTTTCTACTATATGCATAATAAATATAAAAACTAATTAATTATAATTACATAGCATACATATTACATTAACTATCTTCAATTTAATACTTTAATATTTAATACACAAATTATTTTATCTTCAAATATTTATTCACAATTGAAATAAAAAAATTTAAATTAATCTTATATATTATTTTATGATTTTTTACTAAGAATTTTGGTGTAAACAAAACAATGCTAGAAACATTCTAAACACAGACCTTAATTCACATTTGGAATATTTCTAGAATTCATCACAAATTCTGAACTTAATTTTATATTAATTAGTAACATTAGATTTTTATGAAAGATGCACATTTTCATTAGCATTGTCATTTAAAATTTAATTTAGTTGATTATATACATAATTTCTTCTATATCATGAAAACTTTTCTAAATTGCTAAAAAATAAATCATCAATGCAATGCAGTTAATGCAAAATATTTATCTATACATACTGTATAATTTAAACATTTTAACAGAATCATTGAGTACTAGGCTAATTCCTCTCTTCAGACTTAAATTAGAGTAAACCAGGCTGTTCTAAGCAGCCAGTCAAATAAAAGCCAAAAATTTAATTGAGAAGCCTCGAGAAGTTCTTTTGAATTCATTTAGCTTAACTGTAACTCTTTCAAATAAATTTCTTATAGAATTTCTTATGTCATATACAGAGTGATTATTTCTTAATGAATTAAACATTTGTTAGAAATTTTATAGTACAAGGTCATGTCAAAATAAACAAGTAATTATTTATTGTGACATTGTCACAATAGTGGGCTGCAATTTCTAATAATATGTTTAAAATTTATTTAATTTAAAATATATGTTCTCCACCTCAAATTAGAGGTGACTTTCCCCTGTAAATCATACTTTTCCTTTAATAATAGTCATGCCAGTCATCTATAACTGCTTTCAGGGAGGGGTTTTGAATTGAATTATATAGTTAATCAGGGCCTCCTGTTCCAAGCTATCCAGTCGCTGACTGGCTAATCATTTGGATTAGCCAATCAGTGACAAGCTTGCGAGAGACGAGAGACTAGACACAGTGACCAGAATACGGCCCCTGGTCTTGTCTTTCATCTATCTAATTACTTTCTCAAGATTAACAAAAGACAGACAGACGGGTAACAGTAAAAATTTATAGGTCTACAAATTTTTCAAACTGCAGCCCAATGGCATTTTTTCCTGCTGAAGATATAAACTTGGAATTTGTTAGTACTGTATCATTGTAAAGAACAGTTACTGATGCATATGTCTAAAAATTTTCTTTGAAATATGATGCTTCATTTAGCTGCTATTTATGGTGTGATCACATAAAAAAATTGATAAACAAACGTTTTCGAACCCCTGGGCTTTGCTTCAGGTTCCAAACAGTTTCTAGATAGATGTTCGATATCTGTTAAAAATCCAAACATCTATCTAGAAACTGTTTGGAACCTGAACCAGATGGGGTTCGAAAATGTTTGTTTATCAATCTTTTTACGTGATCACACCATAAATGGTTCTGGTACATAATTCTTTAGTATATCCGGTGTGATATAACACAAAATAAATCGAAATAAATAACACAAAATAAATTGTAGCTGTGTGGAGTCCGCGCGACACATCCGAACATGTAAGCTGAACAATAGTATGGGGGGGAGTGAGTAATCGAGGGTTGTGTGGCGCTCAAACAAAAGACGAATCGACGAGATTTGAAAATCGCGTAACTCCGGGTTCGCGTAAGCCGGGGTATTACTGTAGAAAATACGAAACTTGGATGATTATTCAATATTTTTAATTCTTTTTGAAATACAGTATCCTAATTTTGTTATTTTTTTATATTTGTATTTTCTTTAATGTTATCAAAAATAATGTATTATTCTTTAATGAGACATTATACCTTTAACCATAAAATTATTTATGGAAATAATATATATATAAAACTCAAAAAACAAAATATAAAAATTCAAAAATAAAGAAAAATATAAATTTAAATGAATAAAGTAAATATACATAAACAATAAAAGAATAATAATCTAAAAAACAAAAATAAATTATCAAAGTTGAATATAGATGTCTTCAATTCACATACTGTAAGTTTGCATAATGTCATTTAATTAAATCTAAAAAAAAACAAAGCTTTCCATGCTGCTAACAAGGTGTTATTGTCTTTGAAGTTAATGGCTTGCTGTTTTATATATGTGTAATGCATCTGTATATCAGATATGATATTTACACCATATATTTTTTGGATTATTCTGGCCTGGTTCCAGTTAATAGAGAAAGAATTAGGATTGATAAAGCATAAGCTGCAAGGGCAGTCACTTGATTATACTTTTGAATGTAAAGATTATTTATTTTTCAGTTTTTATATATTTTGCTTTTTGAGAATAAAAAAATATAAAAGACTATTTTCGTAAGTTGTAAGTCCATTACTAATTCTGGAATGTCTTAAATTTTTTCATTCTATTCATACACAGCCATTGTTCATTTTGTAACTTTCTCCTGAGGAAGGTCAGTTAAATACAGCTGAAAACATTAAAGATTAAAGTGGTGCAATTACTTATAAATTTGATTTCTTGAACTTTAATTTATTCCAATTTGATACTGAATATTCAAAATATAGTAATACCATGATATAATAATACCATGAAAATTTTTTTCCAATAGAATTTTTTGTAAATTAAGATTTAAATTTTCATTAATAGCTATTTCATCAATAATGACTGCCAACAACAACATTCAGTAAACTGAAAATAAAGAGCAAAAAACATTAGTATTATACATTACCTTGCATATCATATGAAAAGTTTAATGTTTTTTTAATACTCATTACAAATTATTGAAAATTATATCTAAAAAAAAAAAAACATATGTTATGCACTGACTTATCACATGACCTGAACAATGATATAAAAGTTTGAACAAATAATTCTCGTTTATTTTAAAATAATGCAAGTCAATGTCTCTGTAAAATCTACTGTTCATATTTACCAAACTAAAAATAAAAAAAAAAAACAAAACAAAAATTAAAATGACATTTTAAAATTTAATGCACTATCTCATCTTACAGCTTATTGAAAGAATTACATTCATAAAATTAGTTACTTATAATTCTTAACATATTTGTTAAAATTTTGTAAAAATAATTGTATTAATTTTATAGTACAAGGTCATGTCAAAATAAACAAGTAATTATTTATTGTGACATTGTCACAATAGTGGGCTGCAATTTCTAATAATATGTTTAAAATTTATTTAATTTAAAATATATGTTCTCCACCTCAAATTAGAGGTGACTTTCCCCTGTAAATCATACTTTTCCTTTAATAATAGTCATGCCAGTCATCTATAACTGCTTTCAGGGAGGGGTTTTGANCTGGAATTCTTTCGGATAAACGACGCTCTACTGTATACTGTATTTTTAATAAATACAAATGAGTATTGTACTGTACATCTTTCTAGAATTTAAGTACTAAAATTTTATTTTTTGTTATAAAAAACATTGTTAAATAACATAATTTAATGTCATTTAATTGTTTAAAAACTTAAACTCTAAATTTATCAAATCTAATAATAATAAATTAATGATTAAAATTATTATTTTTTATTTTTTAATATGTTAACTTTAGGATTTGTTATATAGAAGTTATAAATATAGCATATCTTGCAAATCTTTTGTAATACAAAATAAGAAAAATAACAAAAGATTATAAACTAATATTGAATTCTAAAATACAACTTTTTTATATTTAAAAAGTAACTGTATTGTTTTATTAATGATAAGTGAATGATTATTTGATACTGTATGCCTAACTTTTTTATAGCTATTACTTATACTTTTCAGATATTATAAATATTAAATATTAACAGAGAATCTATATAATGTAATAAATTGATTGAATTAAAATAAATGAAATGGCAATGTAGTTTTTTATATCTCATATACTCAAATAAGTTTAATACTTGTAGAATTTCGCCGGATGATAATTTATTTTTTAATCAAAAAAGACACAGTCTGCTCAAAATTTCTTTTTGAAGAGGGATAAGACCAGAGGGATAAGACCAAATCTACATTTAACAGCGCATTTATCAAGTGGATATAAAGGACTGAAATTCCCTAACTGGAAAGGATGCAAGTTTAAGACGTCTGTAAGACCGCCAGTTCCAATTCTTTACTTTTTAATGTTTTAATTGGATTTTTTTTGTGTGTTTTTAAAGGAATGTTTTAGCCAGATGACCTAGTAGCCTACAAAGAAAGGTCCGGTCGTCGATGGTGTTCTGGAACACATGATCAGAAGAAATGGTGGTTTCAAAAAGAAATTTTGAGCAGACTGTGTCTTTTTTGATTAAAGTTTAATACTGTTTTTCAGAATGATTAAAATTAAAATAAAAAAAAAAAACATTTCTACAGATCCTAATGCAATACTCAAATACATTGGTATCCATAATGTAAGTTTTTCTGTGTATCCATAATCAGATTATCAAAATGATAACAAAATGTAAAAAACAAAAATATAGTAATAAAAAAATATAAATCAAAAGACGACAGCAAATAATTTAGAATTCTACTTTATAAATGCTTTTTTAAATGCTGTTTGCCACATCAAAAAGTCTAATTTTTCCCTGGAAAAAAAAAATTGTTGCATGAAATAGCCATTGTTCACCATTCCAAAACTTATAGTCTTATAAGATCAGAAAAAGATTGACGACGATTTTTATCTCGGTTTCTCAATTAAACATCAAAATTTTTATACAAAAGATTTTTTCCGAATAAAACATTAGTCTTTGTACAGTGTGCAAAAAGAACATTAGCTTATTATTAATTAGAAAGCAACAAATCTTTTAAAACAACAAATTAATAGATACTTTAAGAGATTTTCAAAAATTTAATTTGTCATTACGTTTGAAACCACATTTTTTTTTTTTTTTTTTTTTTAAATCACCTAAAACACAAGATTAAAACACAGATACACTAGACAATAGAATTTTTTTCAAATAGGGTATTAACATTACGAAAAATACACATAGAAACGATTACAATCGAATGTCAAATTATAAATTGCATATAAAACAAAGAAAACAGAAGAGGATTATTTCATTACCATAAAATACACATTAACATTTCAATAGCTAATACATTTAATTAAATTACTGCAACCTTGAAGAGTCGATCTACCAAAACAATTTGGATCGAACCAACAAAACATTTTTACGTATTTTAATGTACGTAAAATATTAACATATTCTGTTCTAAAATTGAACTGTGAGGTACTCATATTTAACTAGAATGAAAATTCCAATTTATCAGAAAAGTATGCAATCGATATTTTAGGGTATAACAATAATACAAATTATTTCAATCATCATTCATTAATTTGATGTGATCAATACACAAATATTCGTAATTACCTGTAACAAGTTTATTAGAATTTCATTAATCTTAATTTGGTAAGGCATTAAGTGGAACTTAAAGCTATTGGATTTTTATTGGCGTTACTCTCTATCCTGAAGTTTGACTTTGTAAAAGACGAATTCAGGTCTTGTCGTCATTCGCCACTAAACGAATTAATTAAAGAGAATTAACATGTTTTCGAGATGTAAACATAAATACTACGCCCCCGAACGTAAGCCTAAACTTAGGCCTAAAAATATCTTTCAAAGTTTCTTTTAAATATATAAACCGTCCGGAGATTAATAAGATTCGCTTTTAATTCTGTTACGTTTATCGAAATAACGTAAATACTTACTTTGAACTAATGTTTTTATTCAGATTTACGTAAAAACGTTTTTTCCTATTATAAGGAACCAAATCGCGTCACTTCAGCTGTTGAATCAGCCTCGGAGTCGATTCGATGGACACAACTAGTTTCGTATTCTTTCGAAATGAAAATATTTTATTAATTTTAATTTATTTATTTTACTTACGTCATATTTATTGAATTATAACTAATTTCATATTTTATTTTAAATTTATTTTCATAAAAAAAACGTTAAGTTTATTTAAAAGTGAAATAATAAAATATTTTAAGTTTCATTTTTAAACACTTGATTTTGACGTTTTGNGACCGCTATTAACGAACGCACCCGAAAACTGTTACCAGTTGATGATGCTCATGCTGAGATCATCATATAGGATGAATAATCCTCTGGTAAAATATTTACTTAAATAATAAATAAGTATTTTACCTATGAAAAAAAATGAATAATAAATCTGATTTAAATAAGGATTTAACAGCATGTTTTTAAATTTTTGGTACCTAACCCCCCTTTTCGCACTAGTTCTTTGTTTCGTATAGCACGGCAATTTTTTGGAACGTAACTCCTGTGTTATACGGAGGTTACCTGTAATTATTTTCATTAATAAATGCAGCTAGTCCTCGGCAGTGCCGTAACTAACCATTCCTGTACCCTGTGCAATAATTTGCATTTAGGCCCCTTAATAAGATTAAATTAAAAAACAAAATTTGGTATGGTGACTTATGAGGGGCATCGATGCTATAAAACTTTGCTGGTAAAAGGTCCAGAGGGTGGAGAGATAGAGGGGATCATATATCTCGAGAGGGATAGGATTTAATAAAGATTTTTATTCGTTATTTACCTTTACATATTTTCATAAAACTCATCCCTACCTTCAAAGGTATGATTTTTGTCATTTTTCAGTAATTAAAAATAAACTTTTTATAAATAATCTGATAACAGATGGCACCACACACAACTTTATTTTTTGCTTAATAATGCACTGTGACAGCATGCCCCTTGTGACAACTATCCCCGGTTTCCCCTACTAGATTTTTGTTCTTAACGTTTTTACCTATTGAAACTTAATAATTCTTTTACCAATAAGTTTCAATTTCCATAATTAATACAATCGGAACATTGGTAACCTTTTAAATACGGCCAGGCAGTTGTAATTTTATATCGGCTAATTTTCAATGTTATTTCCCTATGTCTCACTTTTTTGGATAACCGGTATAGTGCCTACCAGAGTAAAAATCGTGCGCATAGAATGCACATGTAGAGTGTAGGGTTAACTGCCATTAACGTATAGTGTTACCGAGACATCAAGGAGATCTGTTTCAGAAATGTATCCACAGTGTTAACCTATAATTACTTGTAATTAGGCTACTTTTTATAGCATAAATAAATGTTTTATATGTAATATGGAGATATTTCACAACAAGTGCACAGCATTCTATGAACAAACAAACTTGATCAATTTCACACTACAGTACAAAAGTTATGTGAATAGAGACAGCGATGCACTAACAACGAGGCAAGTACTAAGAGCGCAAGGCGTGAGACCAGCTCTCACGTCTCACGCCAGCTGCTAGAAGACATCTATCAAATAAAATGTAACAGATAGACAACATTAAACTTGAATTCTTTTACAAATAAATAGTAAAATGTGAATACATTTCACATTTAATTTTTAAATCAATTATTCTCTTAAAAACCCGGAGGAATTATTTAATCTTCCTTTTTCGTAGATACCGTATTTTCGAATCTTCTTAAGTTAAGTTCGAAGAATCTTTTTCGGCTTGGATAATGATAATCGCATAAGACAAAATAGTTGCAGAAAGCTGTAAATATTTAAGCCTTTCTTTAATATTAATTAATATATTTAGTTTATAAAATATTTTTAAAAACAACTTACAGTTATTAATAATCGGAAGTCGATGTTAAAGAAATTCCATCCCGTAACAACTGCTCTTTTGTCATTGCATGCTAATATAAATATAGCTAACTAGAAAATTAATTTCGTATTAATATATAAGTGAGTATATATAATTTGCTTATATTTTTATTTTTTTTTTTGTGAACTTACTTCTTCATTTCCTGCTAATGATTTGCATTTTTGAAATATTCCCATCATCTCAGATACAAAAGCTTCACACTGGAAAGACGGAAATTATTATTATAATTATAGCAATGTCTATAAGGAAATAAATTGCTGCGTATCTATGAAAACACGTACTTTTTTCTGTAAATATTTAAAAATTTAGGTGGTTTATAGAGATTTTGAAAAATTTAAATGCTAAAAGTTTGGTACGAGAAAATTATGGCAAGACTTTATGTAATGCAAATTCTAGTAGTGCGTAAACAAAATAAAGAAAAATTGAAAAATACACTTTGTTTCGTATTGCGTAGGTATCAAGATATAATTCACTAGTCAAAATAATGAAATTCTTAACGACAATTATATTCCCACTTATTATTACTTTACCGGCTGTTATATATAACAGAGGGAAAGTATTGAGATCGGTCAAAAAAATGACCCTCATTTTTACATTTTTGGTCTCGAGACACCTTGAGACATCGAGAAATGCAAAAAATTTGGGTTTTTTTTTCTGTATGTACGGATATTAGTGCGTATGTATGTTTGTATGGCATGAGTTTGTTCACCCTCTTTGAAGATTAATAACTCCTGAGCTTTTTGTCGAATATTTCTGAAATTTTGTAGGAAGGTTAGTTTATTACGGGGGATCGATGCTATTATATTTTGTTGATTAAGAGTCGAAGGAGTGGGGACGTAAAAGGAATCGGTGTGTGTTTCTATTAGAGTCAGACTTAATGATGGTTTTACTGGTTATTAGCATTTACAATTTTTTATAAACCCCCCATCCCTACCCTGAAAATTAAGCTTTTTGCCATTTTATAAGGAATTTTTTTTAAAATATGATAATAGATGGCGCCACCAAATGTTGCTGGGAAACTTAAACAACTCGTTACTGGAGTTTCTTTGTAGAGGCATTGATATAATAATCCGGTGAATCTCATTAACAATAAGAGCAACTTCGTATAAATAGGTTAGATTGATAAAATAAGGCAACTCGACAATTAGGCAATCTGCTAAGGGGGATACTTTACGGGAGGAAACTCTCAACGGAAAACTGGTCCCTATTTAGGTGTTAGATAAATGAAGGAAATCGCGGCCATCTAGCCATATTAGGTGGTTTTATCCACTCAGACACCTGTAGGAGTCCAAAGAAATAATGATGCAATAAAGATTAAATTTATGCCAATACTATTCGTAAATTCTAGGGTTATAGTCATTCAGAACGTATATACTAAAATATTATTTATAATCATAAATACAGTATTTTGCAATTTCCATATTTTGTAACTATTCAATTAAATAAAAATAATCGCTGTATTGATTAATTTAGAATTGGCAAAAAGAAAAAAAATTATTGTACAGTTTATAGTTTTTTACTTTCTTCTACTATTCGTGAAGTGGGTGAAGATTCTATAAACCACGAAAGAAATCGCTGTTAGCCACTGTAATAAAACATATATGCATGACTGCATTTTATAATATCCTAGTAGAGTGGTCGAGTCTTTTTTCCACATAAAAAAACCGGTCAGAATAGTGTTGTTTCTGGAGACGTTTAAAGTTCTTTTGAGTCATAATTCTGAATACTTAATAATTACTGTAAATTTGCTATAACTACAGTATGAAGATATGTGCAACATTCCTACATCATGGAATTTGATATCTAAATTTGACAGAGGATAATTAGGAATAAACATACAATTACAAGTACAAGAGATTCATTACTCTGATAGATACTTAATTAACAATGATGAAGAAAATTCATTTTTGGTTTTCAACAAGACATAAAGAAAGAATTTTTCAGCAGTATTCGATATCATCTCATATTTCTAGAAAATTAAATGTTGTCTACATTATTTCAGGTGATATGGTTCACATGTCATTATTTCTTTGATATTATATAACTCATTGGCCTCCAACTCGATATAAAATTATAAATATGGCAAGTAATAAATGAACGTTATATAAATTACATTTTTTATTAAAATTCAGTTAAAAGTTATTGATGCCACAAGATTCGATCATCATAATTATCGCTCTTAGAATTTTTCAAAAATTAATTAATTCTCTGGGAAGCAGATTGCTGTGATTATTCACAAAAAAGGAATTACTGAACTGTAATTGTAATCTAGAAATGTTAATCTTCTTTATGCCTTTAAATAGTTTTAAATTTAAAGGCCTAAATCGTTGCATTATTTATATTACTATGACAGTTGTTATCCTTACAATTTCCTACATACTACTTTACATTTTAATAGAGCTAAACTTAGATTTGTTACTGTCCTAACCTTTAATATACAACAAATCCTTCTCCTTCAGCAAATAATAGTGCGTAAAAATGCGAGACCCTAATCTGCAGCTTCCGTAGCTTACGTGCAAATCTGTCTATGAAGTTTATATATCATGTTATAGCTATTATTTTCCGTTGCATAGTGTGAATGTGAAAATGTATAAATTTTAATTTCCTGTTATTCCTACATCTTTGTATTTTGTGTTTAATTATATACATACTGTAATATTAATAGATTCCGCTTATTAAACTAACTAAAGTTCTATTGTTTCATTCAAATCGATTTAATTTACGATTCAACATGAGCAGTTTTTTTTTTATTACGATACAAATTTTTTATCATCACGAAAATTGACTTAAAGAAACTTAAAAATAAAAGTAAAACATTAAAATATGACAAAAATTCCTACCTTCTTATTCAAGTAACCTATAACCATCGCAGGAAACAGAATTACGAAAAACTCTGTAACGAAAGTATAAATCACCTCATCTTTGGGTGAAATTTTCTCTTGATATAAACCCAAAGGAATACTTAAGGCAACAATTATAGCATTTAATATGTAATGTCTTAATATCTCTATAGAAAACACATTATCGAGTTCGCTAACACAATTGCATATATCTATGTATAAAAATTTAAACTTATCTAATTTTTTCAAAACTCTGTCTTCATTCCATTCCGGAGATAAATTATTTATTTTGTCTATTAAATCCATTATTATAACGCTATAAAAAATTCCATAATATAAAATAATAGAAGGAATAACAGTAAGTAAAGTTTTAGCGCTTATAACCTCAAAATAACAAATTATCATAGTAATATAGTCATAATAGGTTTGGACATTTGCAAATAAGCCTTTGTGTAAAGAGGAAAGATGGGTAAAATCCATATAAACCAATACTACTTTGGTAAAAAATATTAAAAATGATGTTGCGTAAAGTCTGTAACAATATTTACTAATATCAAAAGCTTCCTCCAATTTTATGCAACGTTTTATAAATTTTAAATACTTCCAAGTAAGGAAAAACCATAATAACCGAGAGAGAAAAGCAGAAAAACGCATAACAAACGTTACAAAAACAGAAATAATTAAAGATGGAGAAGTAAGATAAGCTCTTATTTTATAATTATTGTACAGAAAATCGAAAAGAAACCAGAAAGCCGAACACATGACAAATAAAAATCGAAATATTGTAAATTTTCCTACTTTAAAACTATAAAATTGTCCAAATAAAACCGAATCAACAAAACAATAACCAAACAATGAATCGAGACAACTGAACAATCTCAAACCTCTAAAAAAGTAAGAACTTTTCTGAATATTTCTCTTCTGATCCTGCATTTTCTTCTCTTTGAAACGTTGGATTATTCTATCCAACTCAAATTGTTTGTTTGGATTTGTGAATTATAAGATATTAAGTACTATATTTTCATTTGTACGTCATTTATATTTAATCAATACCATAACAACAATTCCATTACATATTATTAAATCATAAACTAACTGTTAATATATAGCCTACTAATAGGAAAAACTAAAATGCTATTTCATTACATAAAATTGACTTTTTTTTTGTTGTTGTTGTTGTTATTGTTGTTGTTTGCATTTGATATTTTTACTTTCCGGCTGTTACAGAATATAACACAAAAAATATGGGGATCTGCTGATTGTAAGCATTGATTCTAACGCCATTTAGCCCAATCGACCAGTTATTATTACTATTATTATTATATATTTGTATCTAATTAAATATAAATTGTTTTGAGAGGATAATATAAAATCGTAGGAATAGCTTAAAATCACTATTAATCTACAAAGGTCATTTCAAATTGATTTCATTCTATCTTCCTATAAGCATACCGCGATTTTAAGTTACCNACTAAAATGCTATTTCATTACATAAAATTGACTTTTTTTTTGTTGTTGTTGTTGTTATTGTTGTTGTTTGCATTTGATATTTTTACTTTCCGGCTGTTACAGAATATAACACAAAAAATATGGGGATCTGCTGATTGTAAAAATAACGCCATTTAGCCCAATCGACCAGTTATTATTACTATTATTATTATTATATATTTGTATCTAATTAAATATAAATTGTTTTGAGAGGATAATATAAAATCGTAGGAATAGCTTAAAATCACTATTAATCTACAAAGGTCATTTCAAATTGATTTCATTCTATCTTCCTATAAGCATACCGCGATTTTAAGTTACCGGAGAGTAAAGAGTGATAATCTGAAATTGTTACATGGGAAAGGTCGAGCAAGACCCCATCCTGGCTTTTTTTTTTATATATTTTAGGTTCCTTGTGTTTCAAAACGTCGAAAAATGCAAAAACATCGGGGGGAATTANCGACCGGATAATGAAGCTCGAAGTCTGCCGTATCTGGAACAGGCCACCCACAAAAAATTCTTGAGATTTTTTTACCATCCGGAGTCGATTTTTGTCCGCAGAATGGGGGCTAAAGTGCTCATTAATTAGTACTTTTAATTCATTTAGTTATTATTATTTAATTAGTAGCTGGTTTACGGGATACTTTTTAATCTAATGTTCATAAGTATTTTTATCAGAATTTATTATTATTTCGGTACATTGAGCATGTATAATAACTAGAATAATTGTAAAGTATATAAATAATTTTTGTTTTAAACTAACAATGCTCAATCGAAATTGCATATTTTACGTCGTAGATTATGATATTTTCTAATTAAAAAAAATTGAATAATTGAAATTATTTTCTAAAATAAGAATAAATTTAAATTATATATTTTTTTCATTGCACGTATCAATTACCTTGTTCTAATTTCCCACTAATTAGTATCGCTAGAACAATAACAATATTTTTTTTCGGTTTGGATTCGTGAGAATAAAAGTATTGATTATCAATTAGCAAATGTACTACAAATGTTATTAAGTTATTGATTTTTAACTTAGTAATTTTCATAACAATCGTGAATCAACGCAATGATATCTAATCTGGTCATATACATCCTCACACTAGCATCTCTCGAGCATAGTTGTATAATATGAAAAGAACTACAGAAACAACGGTTAATGCAATTAATAATTACAGAAATAAACAAAATTATTTCTTTCTTTATCTCAAAAATATTCTTTATATCCATACTTTCACTGGTTGTAATTTTCTGAACGGAATTCATTCGACCGGTAGTAAGTTAGATGCAGCAAGATTAAGTTGGAAAGCATTTTATGGGCTACTAACCTTAATAGCTGCAATGGGGATTAGCATACCAATGCTAGTACCGGAAGATTTTACTTGGACGATGTCTAATCTAGTTCCATTCTCTAATATTGCGGTGGCAGAAATGGCAATTATTACGTGCAAAGTAACATTATTCTGGAAAGCGAAAGATATATTGAAACTAATCAGGTAAGAATTTCATTTCAAAAGCTATAAAAATATAGTAATTAATATGAATTTTCTATTTAAGGATGTGCATCGAATATGAAAAATCTGAAGAATGGACCAGACCTATATCGCTTTTAGTTTTGACAGTAACTGTAATATTGGTTCACATCAGCATCTTTGTTAATTGTTTAGTCAGTTCTATTATGAAAAGCGAGAAGTTGGCGACTGAATTAAGTTCGTGGTTTCCCTTGGATTCATCAATTTCTGGACCTATTTTGGCCACTTTACACTTCATTCAAGATTTTTTAATATCTTCTTGTTACTTGGTAACACCTAGCTTAATTGTTTATTGTTGTATATTTCTTAGCATGTGCTTTAAAAATTTATCCGATCGCTTAAAATATATAAGGCAATCTAACCTAAATGAGTCTTTACGTAATTTAGATAAAGTTAAAATTCGTTACTTCAAGCTATTCAATATTGCAGAATTGTTGAATAAGTGCTTTTCTGTCGAACTTTTTAGAATATTTACATCTAACGGTTTAGTTTGTTGCATCTCGGCATATTACATAGTCACTATTAATCAAAATTTAGACACTAGAATTAGTTACATTATGAAATTTATATTCATGTTTCTGTTAATGCTCTTACCTGCTCTCGCAACAACTTCAATGGCAAACAAGGTAAAAATGATATTTTAAATGAATGTAAATCATATGCCTTTTTTTTATAATTAACTTAGACATTTACATTTTAATAGGCATTTTCGCTCTTTGATGAATTAAATCAATTTTCCTTTCAATTACCTCGAGAAGAACGCCAAAGTGTAAGTAGATTAGATCAAAACATACATTTTAGTATATAATTACACTAATTAATTATAAATATTAAAATGAAAATAATAGTTTAAATTTAATGAAAGATATATTTTCGTTCCCTGAATTATGAGTCTTTAAGGCTTTTCCCGCAAACGTAATTTTTTCTCATTCCTGTTTCCAACTTTTTCGTTCCAATTCTCTCTTCCTTATGTCCCAGTTTTATTATCTATTCATTTTTTTCCGAGTCTTATTTCTTTCATGATAAGTTTTCTGACTTCGTATTATCTTCTCTTTTCTTTTCACAAGATCTAACCATTTGAACTTGTTGGTCTTTACAACGTTTCTTATAAAGCATCGTACAGTTGGCACAATTTCTTATTTGTTGTAATACTCGACCCATCTTGAGATATTAAACGAAATATACGCGAACATACACATATCTACAATTGACAATTAACAAAAGACAATGGCCGTACACTAAATGTTTAGCTGGCTGAAGAAGGGGAAAAACACACAAACAGACGTACAGTACCTCAGATCACTGATGAATAAATTTTGGATTGTTTGTATTTGACCACCTTATTCTTTAAAAAAAAAACTGTATAGTATGTATTCTGTATTAGAATCGTGGAACACCATAATCGTGTTAAATCTATTATTTTAACAACAAATGTATTTTAATACTTGTTAAATCTGTTTTTAGTAATAGGCCTAATTACGTTGTTATTATAACCAACTGAAGAGGATCGTACGGTCGAAATGCATTTTGGCTTAATAGTAGTGTCAACAAATTAGTAACCAATGTGTGATTAGTCTGTTTTTATGGGTCTCATAACCGGAGTATTATAGTATTTAGTATAGTATTATAGTATAAACCCATTTAGAATATTCTTAATTTATAAATGAAGAATACATTTACGAAAATAAATTAAATAGCAGTTTCAATAACTGTTTTGTCATTAATTAATGCACAGAATGAATTAGTGAATGAATTTCAACACACACAAGCAGATAAGCACACACCACGGCAGGGATGGCCCGGGCCGATTTGGAAAGAAAACTTTTTTCACGGGCCGAACCAGAGGCCGTCCTAGGAAGATTTTGAGGTGGTGCGAGATCTCATTGTGGTGTCACCCCGTAGAGACTAAATTGTAGATAGAGATTACAGATACATTTTTCACATTATCATGCTTTATCAACATTCTACGCTGTACTTACGAGATTTGTAATGGAGGGTTAACTCTAAACGCACAGTGAGTTGTTGACCTTTATTTATTTTTTTTAGGCGTTAGAATTTTTCATCGAGCTATTCGGACTTGAGTAGCTAATATTGAAAGATTAATCGTGGGCCGCATAAATTTATTAGACGGGTCGGATCCTTACATTCAACCTTACATTCTAGTAATTATGGCTGAGACCAGTAGCCTATATCTATCGACTCTACTAATATTTTTCTTCTGTTTTTGTATCTGTATAAAGAAGTTAGGAAAGTTGGTACGAGGCCTGGAAAGAGCTTAAAATGGCACCTCGGATATAAAATTCTACGTCTTTTAAACTTTTTCATAATATATGTAAATACTTCGTAGGTCAGTAATATTATAAAGTTACAGGAACTGACATTTTCATTTTTCAGGTCATATCATTGATGCTTATATGTCAAAATCAAAGACCAACTTTGACAGGATGGAGTTTTTTCGACATAAATTTAGATCTCATTGTATCCGTAAGTAATTAATTTTAATAAATCGTCGAATATATATAAATGAAAAGAGATGAATTGGCGAATTTTTATCAAAAACGATTACGTTTATATTAATTTGAAATCTACACTATTAATGATTTTAAAGTTACTTTCTTATTTAAACCGCTAAATTTGTAGTTTCTTAAATAAACTTTTAACTTACGAAATCCTTCAACGTATACAGTGATGGTAAAATCCCCTGGCGTGCCATGTAAAAATTTTCTAAATATCACTATTTACCGCACGGATCATGTTTTTCCCGTGTTCTTAATTCGATTTTTCCATATTGACGGTTAGAAGTCATTAAAGCACTCCCAGATACAGACGGGCTGATAGTTCAGAGATTTAAGGCGTCAGGCGACTGCTCTAGAACACAAGGGACCCAATCCGGACGAAGAACCCTAGACAACTTTTCGTTGCCCGCAAGACCAAAAAAATACATTAGATACGATACGAAGTTGTTTAGTTGTAGAAATAAAGTCGCATTATCTTACACGATAAATTAAAATAACTTATTTGAATTTATTGTAACAAAATATATATCAAAATAACTGTCGCCAATTTGTCCTCTTAAATCCATCGATTTTCTGAAATTTCTATATTTAAGATTAATTGACTTTTTTCCTGTAGATTACGGCAACAATTATCACATACACGGTCATTCTAGTCCAAAGCAACTAGGATCTTTTTAATACAGAAGGTATCTGTAATTGCCAAGAGAAATTTTAATTTATAATAGCCGTTATTTAAATCCTTTGAATTATGTAAAATTGTTCTCTCGATTATTTCCATACTAATTAATAGTATATTTATAGAATAACACAGAAAATGAATATGTGTTTCTGAATAATTTTATTGTAAAATTGTCCTAAGAAATTATTATAAATTCTAAACGGCGTTTAAATTTATAAGAAGATCGACTCGAATTCTGAATAAACTACCACAAAGTGTAACAAACGCGTTAACGTGGAGTCTCTCAAAGGTAAAGAGAGGCCAAGACTACTTATCTTTTTCGAGATCCAGCGCATTAAAAAAGCTTCAAAAATGTTTCACTGTTTTTTGAATGATGAAAGTTGACAAAAAATAAAGATTTCCTTCTTAATACACAAAAAGCGCGACGAAACGAATGATTTGCCCACACCAGTGTGATAGGTATCGCATTAACGAAACATTGGAAGACCGGACGGTCGAAGCAGTAAAGGCACTCTCCGCCACGTCCAACGATTCGGGATCGAATCTAGATTGGGTCGGAAGTGGGTCAGTCGACACGGATACGTCGGGTCCGTCCTTGGATATTTGGCTGCCCTCTTTGTGGACCCGGCAGACCGCGTGACGGACATGAAAAAAACTTTTTTAATTAATGTTATGTATGTGTACTGTACATAAGTTATTGTTCTAAATTCATGTTTCATTCGATTTATGTTAGATGAAAAATGATAACATTGTACTGCACATTGTATAATAATCTATCTATATATATAAAAATGAATGTATGTCTGTGTGTGTGTCCTATGTCCTTCATGCATTACCACACCGTTTATCCGATTGCCGTGAAACTTTGGGAAGTTGTTTAATATATTCTGGCGAAGGTTTGTGGCATAGTACGATTGCCATAAAACTTTGGAAAGTTTTTTATAATTTTTTAATACACTCCCGCGAAGTACATTTATCCTACGATAGATGGCGCGCGTTTACACGAGCATTCGCGCACAGTGTGTTAGATCGATTTCAAATTGTGAAGTCCATTTCCCCCTTTCAAAAAATATCTCTATATATGCATTTGTTATTTACGATATTTGTAATAATTTTTGTTTAATCACTTTATTTCAACTTTTTTTATTGCTAATTATGTATTCGCTCGAACTTCTAAAACCTTAACTGTACCCCGAACAACCGAAGTTGTAGGAAGAAATTCGCGTATTTTACCAATCTAGGTATCCCCCCTTTTCCAAATTTTAATATCGACTCAAAATAATTTAAAAAGACAAATTACAATAAAACGGTTTATTATCCAACTATCAGAAATTTCACAACATGCCAAGGAAGAGAGGAAGGAGCAATTAAATAATTAAAATTATAAAGGATTTAAAAATATATATATAAAATGGGGAATATCGCACTTCTGACAATCGCAGCGAATGTGTGGGCTAAATTTGGAGAATCCGTGCTTCTCGCATGGACAACTGTATGTGACCAGCTCACGCGTCGAAAAACCTTCCGATTTATTCGTGTACGCACCAGACGGAAAAACAAAAAATATCGCGTATCCACAAACACTCCAATAAATAAATAGAATTGAAACGACACTTTGAAATGTTTTCCCGATGAAAATTAATAATAAGTTTCATTAAAAATAATAAAATGTAAATTGAATTTTATCATAACGAGTTTGCTTGAATTTTCTTTCTTCTGAAATCGCAGCAATGCGCGACGGGTAAGCTAGTGCTACATAAAATGATAGCATCCTTGAACAAATATGGAAGAATCAAACAAATCGAAACGGGAAATAATCATATTTGATAAGAGGATTGTATACGTACGATACGATTTATCACGAAGAGCTAATCACACTAGATAATGTTCTCTTTCAACATTCGGTACACTCTCCCATATTCGAACTACTGTGGGCGGGAGTGTGTTAATTTTAAAATAAGACTGTAATATATATGACTACTGTTTTAAAAAATGTATATTTTGACTTTGACGCTTATTTTTTGACAATTACAATTAATTTTGAAAGCTGTTTGTTTCGTTCTCGATTTGCTGACCACTTGCTTCATCACGCCAATGATTCGTCCGCGGTGGTCGGTACAGTACATCGCGCTCTTGTACGAACTTCAAAGCCATCTTAAAATATATAAGAGAGCTCTTTCAACAAGCACATTATGGGTTCGGTTAGACCTACAATTGGGCAGCTGGATGGGGCACTACATATCTGGATAGACCACCCTGAAAAATTCCTGGGAATTTTTCGACTCTGGGTCCCGTCTACAATGGGTCGTGAGTAGGGAATTCGATCCCGGTCCTTATTTCTAATCCCGGGATTTCAGTCCAAAGCAACTAGGATCTTTTTAATACAGAAGGTATCTGTAATTGCCAAGAGAAATTTTAATTTATAATAGCCGTTATTTAAATCCTTTGAATTATGTAAAATTGTTCTCTCGATTATTTCCATACTAATTAATAGTATATTTATAGAATAACACAGAAAATGAATATGTGTTTCTGAATAATTTTATTGTAAAATTGTCCTAAGAAATTATTATAAATTCTAAACGGCGTTTAAATTTATAAGAAGATCGACTCGAATTCTGAATAAACTACCACAAAGTGTAACAAACGCGTTAACGTGGAGTCTCTCAAAGGTAAAGAGAGGCCAAGACTACTTATCTTTTTCGAGATCCAGCGCATTAAAAAAGCTTCAAAAATGTTTCACTGTTTTTTGAATGATGAAAGTTGACAAAAAATAAAGATTTCCTTCTTAATACACAAAAAGCGCGACGAAACGAATGATTTGCCCACACCAGTGTGATAGGTATCGCATTAACGAAACATTGGAAGACCGGACGGTCGAAGCAGTAAAGGCACTCTCCGCCACGTCCAACGATTCGGGATCGAATCTAGATTGGGTCGGAAGTGGGTCAGTCGACACGGATACGTCGGGTCCGTCCTTGGATATTTGGCTGCCCTCTTTGTGGACCCGGCAGACCGCGTGACGGACATGAAAAAAACTTTTTTAATTAATGTTATGTATGTGTACTGTACATAAGTTATTGTTCTAAATTCATGTTTCATTCGATTTATGTTAGATGAAAAATGATAACATTGTACTGCACATTGTATAATAATCTATCTATATATATAAAAATGAATGTATGTCTGTGTGTGTGTNTATTGCAAGCAAGCCTGCTAGGTTAATTTCTGCTGCTTGCTCGGAATAAAATTTCTTGTATTTTATATTAAAATGATAGGCAAGCAATTCTGTTAAAAGCACTGGCACTGAACGTTTCGCTTCATGCAGTCTATTTTGCAACTTTTTTTTAAAATGATGTCAATCCCGAAAATCTCGGGATTAGGAAAACTTAATCCCGAAATTTTTGGGACTGAAAAGTGGTCGGGATCCCGGGATCCCGATTTTCGAGATCCCGGGATCAAATCCTCTAGTCGTGAGAGATAGGACCTAACGTATCACAGACTAAACCACCATAAAAATTTTGAAGTTCCAATATCAGATTCAAACTTCCATCTCGTAGAGCAGTGGGTTGAAACTATTATTCTTTAGCCATCCAATCACCACTACAATATATTATAAAATTGGAATTATATAATTTGTGTAGGCATATATACAGCATTTATAAAAACATTTTGATTAAGTTTTGATACAGAAAGAATATTTTTTAAAAAAGTAACATTTAAAACATTTTCCAAATTTAAAAAAAATGATTTTTTTTATTATCTCCAGAGAAACAAAATATATTTGTTTGTACAGAAAAACAGAATATTTGTTACAACAGAAACACATTTTATTTATTAATAGAAAAATAACTCACTACTGTTTACACATAATTCACCTATTTAAATAACAAAATATTTTGAAGTATATTGTGCTTTAACATTTATTTTTTTCATGTAAGCACAAATCATATTTAAACAGTCGGTTTTGTAAGATAATTCTTACTGGTCTCTAGTATTTAGTATACTTTTATTTTCTACTTTATACAAAAGGAGAAACTTTATACAAATAAAAGCAGTTCATTCTGAACATAAAATATAATGATAAAAAAGTTCAAGTTATCAGTTTAATTAACTTAATAATGCTAATATTATCATCACTAGAAATATCAATGAAATCAGTAATGTCGATTTTCTTGTGAATTAATATTTTTTCTATTGACATTTACAAATATTATAATTAAAATGCTTTAAAAAATATTTTGTAAAATCATAGAATAGCAGTTCTTAAGCTTTATGAACTTGCAACTCCCTTTACAATGGATGATTTTCCATATATTTGAGCTCCAACCAGTTTCTAACTGTATGAGCTTTCAAAATTTATAACCTTATAAAATTAAACTTCAGAAATAAATTGAAACATAAAATCATCATCATCCTGAGCATGAGGATAATTTTAAAAATGTAGTGTATATTGATGATAAGTCCACTATTTTTCCTCTTTGACAAAAATTAACTTTTTGTTTGATACAAGAATACTTCATATATATTTGGTTTTCTTCATTCACATTGTTCACCTTCAAAAATTACTTAAAGATTCTATAAATTCTATATACTCTGTTTGTAATGTACGAGGAATTGATAAATGAAAAATATTCCTATGACGTCCTGTTAAACAGTCGCGTATTTTTTGGAAGCAAATCTCTTTCAGTGTATACACTTAAAAAAAATTATTAGAAAAGAAATTTAAATCTGTATTCTAACAATTTTTAATTTCAGAATAATATATTTTTAATTAAATTACTGAACTTACCTGGCAAAATAATGCAAAATACTTTTCTGGATGGAGGTCCTTCATCGGCCTCTACGATCATCCAAGGGTGTGACTGAGAAAATTTATTTCTACTCACTACCATTTTGTCATAAGTTTGGCTATCTCTGAAGATCCACATGTGATTGACAAATGTATCTACATCGTAATATGTTCCGGGTTCTAAAATTTTATACGGAACTCTAACACCATTAAAATTAATCCATAGCATTTCAATATTACGATTTGTACAGTTTTTGAATCTGACATAGAAAGGTATAAGAGAGATTTTTGATCTTAAAACCTGACAATTATTATTAAGTTGTTGTAAATCACT